CCTTTCAGAATGCAGCCTGCAGAGGTTGGAAATCATACGAGGGCCTCAAAGAAGCTACAAAAGCTATGTTAAAGGCCTACAGCAGATGTAGAAGTGGAAGGATGACATGTCTGCTTTTGTAGTCCAGTCTGAGGTATTGAACAGCAGTGTCAAGTTCGGAAGGTTGTACATTTTAGTCACGTGCGTGAGGGAATCGCACTGCCAGATGCCGATGGCGGACGACTTGATCGGCAGTTCAAAAAAATCTGTCATGTTTGGCAGAATGCTTGCCTTGAACCTGTCTTCAAGGAGCTTCAAGACGAAAACTGCAGACTCGTTCAGCATGAAGCACTGACCTGCTTTGACAATGCGTTTCGGTTCCGAAATCTCAGGTTGATACAAATGTCTGACCTCAGACATTTGTCTGCTGATCTGCGCTAAAGGCTTGCTTGTTGAACGTAGCATTTTCTTAACCTTACCCAGGAAACTTTCAAAAGGAAACGCACTAAAACTGTCAAGAGGGCCATGGTCCAAACACTGCTCAGCCAGATGGCTGAGCGTGTGCACGTTGTAAACGAGCTGCTTGGCCCCATACAAGGTGCCAAACTCCTGCACAAAGTACCTAAGAAGGTCCCTGGCAAATCCGTTATAAACCTCGTAATGTGCAGGAGATACAAGAATTCTCACTGCCACATGCAGCATTATAAAGTGACGGTACTGATCGTTTGGCAACACATGCTTCAAAACCACAGGTCCCACATACAAGAGCAAGCTTCGAAACTCTGTGGCCTTCCACCGGTCAAGTTCCTCAGTGCCTCTTGGCTTCCTTTGAAAGTTGCTGGGGAAACGCTTACTGCAACTTCGAAGTAAATCATTCAAATTTTCACGCTGCTGTCGACTTAGGCGTCTCCCGAACCCTTGGCTAACCCAGTTTCTCAGAAGGCGCCGCATAACGCCAAGACAGACGAGATGCATGTACTCCGTAGGAAACCATGACACCATGTCGAAATCTAAAGATTCAAATGGCGACGTTCCCGTGTGATGGTGCTCGTCTTCCTGAGACCGGAACGACTCGTTGGTGCGTTGTGGTGAGTGTAAATCAGGAAATGTCATTCGACCCTCGAGATGCAGGCCCCTCTGACTGCACCGTTCGCAGGCGTGATAGCCAGTGTGCCCAACTATTTGCTTGATAAAGCTTCTTGCGGGTGCGTCGCACACCATGGCCGTGATGCTGACAGTGATGTGGCTCCCCTTGAAGACCATGCCATGCACTATGAGCTTGCGGGCTTCTTCTAGGAATGCGTACAGGTACTGCTCCAGATTTGGGGGCTTTCCTGTGCCGCAGTATAAACTGACCATAAAAGGTGACGGCAGAGGAGTCAAATTCGTTATCCGGCATAATAAGGGCCAGAAGCTCACCTGTGAGCTTTTGAACAGGGGCAGACCGTCAATGTTCCCTTGGAGCTTAATCTCCTTAGGAATGGGGCAGCCTTGCAATGACTGACGGATGCCTTCTTCTAAGCCGAAATGCACAAACTTGTCACATTGCTCTAGTCGGGACTTCCGTTCTGTGCACAACACAGTCCGCGCGTCTTTGGGTAGTCCGGCAATGCCTCGACGCCGACAAAAGGCAAGAAGATCGTTCAGACATATGTGGCTCATGTTGTGCTTCCCAGCAATACTTGCGAGCTCGTCGCATGCCGAGAGTTCATGCGGCTGGGATGACGACGTAGTGACAGCGTTCGGATTCGCGCTGCCGTTTGGTGGCTCCGAGTTATGGTCAGCGCTTTCCTCTGACTGGTACTCATCGCTCGTATCGTCTTCCGACGAATCATTTTCTGAAGAACTCGCCAGCACGTCAGATCTCGAGACTTCAAAGCTCGCCGACTGCACCTGGACTTCCAAGTCACCCGAACAGCCAGCTTCACTGGACTGGAAAACGCCTCCGGCTGCAGGTTTATCAGAGCGCGCAACATCGCTGGAAACGGCATTGCCCGTCAAACCGCCTTCCGTTCTCGGCTTCTTTCAGCTTGCAGCTTGAAGATCCGCCATGAGCTGCTCATGGTCCTTCTTGAGCTTCCGGTACTTACGCCACTTGTTCATTATCAGGAAGTAGCGCAGCAAATGCAGTCTTTAACACGGCGAAATACGAGCCACAACGGAGCAGAGGCGCAGACCACTGTGGTGCAGACGCCAGTTGTTGCCAGATGGTCCCAACAAAAAACCGCCAAACACCTGGGTGGTATAGCCCAAATATAGCCAAAACTAAAAACAATGGTTTTTAAGCCTTTTTTGACAATTTTTCACACACATACAAGACACGTTACATTATCTTTTTCAAGCCCCAGATGCGCCACATTTTGTGTACATTATGTCACTTGCGAATTAAAATTAAAAAAAAACACTTCGGAAGGAAGAAAACAAAACTGTCACCTCCTTCGCAGGTCTTCAGAAGTACAAAACACACAAAGACAGTTTTATCGTGAAGCCCGGGATATGATCATTACGGTAAACGAACAGAATACAGAAGCAGAACGGTAACACTTGGTGTTTCAAACAGGGATCACAATATCTAAGGTCCTTACCAATATCCTACCCGTCTCTTTTTCTTTGTGTAGAATATGAGTGTTCCCCATTTCGGTTCACGCTATTTCTGATTGTGTTGTCCTTTCTTGGGGTGGACGAAGACTGGAAGGTAGTCAATTGTTCAGCGGTGAAACTGCGGACTTTATATTTACGAACTTGGGTGCCTAAGGATTCTCTCAATGGGCACCAAAGCACGCTTGAACTTTGCAGAGTTTAGTCTAGGTCCGGGTAGAGGACGCCCTACCACTGTTTGGTTTGCTTCACCGCGCACTGTGGAGACCGCTTGAACTGTGCAAGCATTGCTTCTGTGCGCATTGTCAAAACGACGAAGTTTGCAGAAGTTAAAAGCCGTTCTCTTTCCTCTCTCTTCTATCGAATGGCCAAAAGAGATACAATTTTTTTCGAAGCTGATAAGAAGTTCAAAAATTAACTAGTCAAACCTCAAAGTTCCACGTCGAAACTGAGGTTTCGACAAAAGTTCGCCGCATCCTTAGAAGTAGCCCAAAAATAGCCATATAGCCAACTACAACATTTCGACGCCAACTAGAAAAAAATGTAGCCCAATTTGGCTATATATAGCCCAATCTGGCAACACTGGACGCGACACAAAGAACACAGAGGCACACATGAACGAATGGTTGGATGAGTGGATAAATGGATAGTGGCTGTACCCTTTATAACTGGCGGTGGTTTGCGCCACCTAGCCTGGCTATTTTCTTTAAACTTACTTTTTTTTCCACCATTCAATTTGTCTTCTCCTTTCGTTGTGATATTCTTTCAATTTTCTCTGGACCTGGCCAACCAATTTTCTACTATTGTTTTTGTTCACTCTATTCCGCTGGTTTCGCTTTAAAGCTTCCGGACAGCGGACGCAATGGAATGCGCTTCAGCGCTACTTTGAGAATATGCGCGCCTAGCAGACGAACTTGCTCGCCGTATACGCATGCATTGTATCGGGCGGCAGCTTGCGCTACCTACGTCGCTCCGTGTTAAATATTTGCCCTCAATTTCGTACCTCCTTTTAAAGTATCTGCCTGGCGGTCGTTGTTGGTTGCAGGTTGCGCAGAAAACCCGAGGACCAAGAATGATCGCAAAGCCTCAAAACATCCCGGATAGGGCTCGAAGGCGCGTCCCGAGCGTTAGCACTGTATAAAAATCAAAAGCGCAAACACCAAGGAAAAGAAGAGGGGACAGGACATAGCGCTTACTCCAACTGAATGTTTAATACATTCCCGAGTAATGTCTTGATGCAAGTATACAAAGCGTACAGCCCTAGGGAAAACATTGAATATCAACCTCTTTACAAGGCGTGCACCGAGAGCACACTGGTGCAACATAATACTGGGTACCATGATGAGTGTAGCTAGCTCTGTCGTCTGCTACGAAGTGAAGTATAAAATAGGGTATTTGAAGGATCTGTGTGCGCCGGCGTGTTCTTTGAACATAATTCCTACTCTGATTTTCACCAGGATGCCTGGAATGTGTCTTCGACTGGTGTGTTCAACGAGGGTAAGGTAGTAAGCTGGGCTAGTTGGTATGCATTGAACATGATGAAAAACCGCGCACAAATAGAAAGAACATACGAGGTAAGAAGAGAACGGAAGAGAACGCGCTTCTCTTCCGTTCTCTTCTTACCTCGTATGTTCTTTCTATTTGTGCGCGGTTTTTCATCATGTTTAACGAGAGGTTATTATTGATTGTCCGATGTCCACCGGGTGGGTTTACCTTGGCGGTAAAATAGCAGCGAGGCTGTCCTGCTGCATCTTGCGATGTCTACTCTGTCTCATTAGTTTCGTGCACTGCAAGAAAAGGTACAGGCGCGAGAGCGTAGCTCCGAAGAAGGCTTCGTTTGCGCGAGCGCTCGTACAGAAAAGGCGTCGCCGGGAATACCGCGCTCGCGCCCGTACCTTTGACTGCAGTGCACGGAATTAGTGAGACAGAGTATAGTTGATCAGTCACCGGCAATGGACCGATCCCACCACGGCCGCGGTGCATCCTGGAGGTTGTAGTCCTTTGTGGGTGCACCGCGCCAGCACACGCCACACAAAGATGGCCGACCAATGTAGCGCTATATCCAGTGTCTGTGGGGCTGCTCCGGCTGCTCGGGCTGCTCCGAGCCGAGCATAGAGCGGAACCAGCGGAACTAGCAGTACCATAGACCACGGCATGACTACAACGCCGCCCCCATGTCCGCCGCCATGTTAGTTGTAGTTTTCCGGTTTCCCGGGAGAACTACAACTAACATGGCGGCGGACATGAGGGTGTCGCTGTCATCTTAGTTGTAGTCCAGCCACTGTCTACGGTTCTGCTGGTTCTGCTAGTTCCGCTCTATGCTCGGCTCAGTCGCTCAGTCGGCTCAGAACAGTCACCGCAGCCGCCGCAGCCACGCACACACTGGTTATAGCGCTACATTGGTCGGCCATCTTTGCCTTTGTGTGGCGTGTGCTGGCGTGGTGCACCCACAAAGGACTACAACTTCCAGGATGCACCGCGGCCGTCGTGGGATCGGTCCATTGTGACATCTCGATGATAGCGTCACTTGCATCTGTTAGTATGTTTTGCCGATACTTTTTAGCCAACCGCCAGGATCGGGCTTTCCGACAGCAAGACAAACGTGACGTGATCGGGTTTCCGCATCGCGAGCAACTTGATACATGGGAACTATAGGACAGTAAACGCGCCAGTAGAAGACGCGTTCCAGGCATCACAGTTCCCACCACGCAAAGGTATTGTCCTTTGTCCCTCTTGTTTCCCTTCTTTAAAGATTATTTTCGTCATTCTTGTCCAGCTCGCTTGCACCTTTGCATTTAATAGCAATTTAATCATAACCTTAAATATGCAAGCTTTCACCCTTGTTGGTGTTAGACCGGTGGCAGCTGATAAAACCTGTCTGCTCTGCTGACATCTAACCCCTGGTTAGCTCAGTTGGTAGAGCGCTCCACTGGAAATGGAGAGGTCCCGGGTTCGATCCCCGGACCAGGCAGATTTTTTCGGTCGTGCACCGGTCACCTAGCTGTGCTTGGAGATTTGTGTTCGTCCTTTGTCCCTCTTGTTCCCCTTCTCCAGGGATTATTTTCGTCATTCTTGTCCAGCTCGCTTGCACCTTTGCATTTAATAGCAATTTAATCGTAAGTCTGAAGAAGAGGTCTCTTAGCGGAACGTCGGCCACATTGTGAGGCTTCCAGGAGACTTTCATTTAAGTACGCAGAGGTTCGGCCATCAAATTTGAGTCTACAACAAAGGTGTTCTGCGAACATAATAACGTATTTCGTGCACCATGCCGTAGAAGGACCAGGCGACAGAGCCCCACAGTGCCATGGCCAAAAGTTTATTTTGAGTAAAAAGAACAGGAAGCATCTGTGGGCAGAAAAGCACACACAGGAGAGCGCTCTTTTCATATGCGGGATTACCGCGCATGGGGCAGAAAGAGCAAGGTAATCCCACGAACTACCCGAAGGCGAACGACGTGACGCATTGAGGCAAGTTGCAGCCCAACGAAAAGACATGCAGGATGCGGCCAATGTCCATGTGACCGAGGTGGGCCCATTTATGCACATTGCTGCCCCTATGTTCGAAGAATTACTCGCGCCATGAGAGGTCACGAGGAGCGGTACGGAAGGGAGCTGATATTTTTGAATGCAACAAGTTACTGAAAATGTCGTAACCCCTGCCCTCGCCCTCCCAGAAAAAGACCGCTTCTTCCTGAAGAAGGAATTGTAAGTACCGTAGCCAAGCCGGATTTCGACACCCAGCCGGCCCCTCCAAAATTTGTTCCCCATAACGCGGATCCCAAAAGGCCCAAAAACTGATTGGCGTTCACTCTGTTAGACATATGCCTAAATGTAGTCCATGCGGCATTGTAAGCGGGTCCCATGTCAACCACCGTTATTAGATCTAATAACGGTGATGTCAACGAGCCCCTCTACCTCGTTGGCCCATATATGTAAAAAAAGTACATTTGGAAGCACGTAATTTTGCGTGATTTAGCGGTCTCGCTTCACAAGAAATACATGTTAAAAATTTCGGTTACTCGTTCAACAACTAGCGCACTGCTTGTTTTAGAACTTCCATCTTAAACCGGAGACACGGCAAAATAAAAAAACGGACAACACAACAACAGTTTTTGTGTTGTCCGTTTTTTTTTTATTTTGCCGTGTCTCCGGTTTAAGATGGAAGTACTTAACCAGCTCGCCTGTGCGTTTACCCTTTCTTCGTTGTTTTAGAACACTAACTAAAGAGTGCAAAGTACTGTATAAACAGTTCATAGAGGGCGCGCTAAAACTTTTAGATTACGTTAGGCTTGATGACTTCATAAAACTACGTCTATTCATGCCTTGTTCTTTGCTTCTCCCAGCGTCCCAGCCACCTTCCCAGTATATCCGGTCACAGCGCATCCGGTCTCGGCCTCGTGGCTCGTTTCATTGTGTCGTGTTGTGCTGGAAGCTACTCGGCCGATCATCGGTGTGCGTTTCCTCTCGACCTGTGACCTGTGTCGAAGTCTTCTGGAACATTTGGCTGCGAAGAGACGGCTTGTTTGCGTAAGTATAATGTCCTCTAATGTCCTAATAGCGGTGTACAACGTTGATATCGGAGATGCTGTTACGGACACGACGGCGCTCGTCCGATAGGACTTTTGCTTTTAATGGATCATCACCGATTACCAATCTCTAATCTTCGCGTTTGCATTACAACACACTTCTGTTTTCATCAATGCTGTCCCGGGTGAGATGGACTGCGGCCGAGACATGTTTCGAGGAACAAGTAGTATTGACCTCGAATCGTCGGTCCGAGCAATGGACGGGGTTAGAGGACCGGTTTTGTTCGATTTGGTTCAACTAATTCTAGCAGGTACAAAACTAGCTTTTTTTAGGAACCTTGACGGGCTCCGGTTAGTTCATATCGGAGAAACCCCCCCCCCCCCCCCCTAGCCCCTACCCCCTAGCCCCTAGCCCCGCGGCATCTCCAGTAATCTCGGGGGCGGCCTGGCAACCAGCGCGGAGGCGGTGGATGTCGGATTTGTAGCGTCTGCTTATCATTCTTTTGCCTTGTATTGCCTCAGCCGCTACGGATACAGCTTGAAATGTGGAACTTCAGAACTAAAGCACTTCTTTGCGGTGCACATACATTGTTGGTAAATCTCCAGGAGGCTAAGCTAAAACGCGGGCCGGCTCACTCGAAGCACCGTCTCATCAAATACTGTTAAGAAAGCGCTGTCAAAGGTAGCGCTCAAAAAATAAATCGCGCATCACGCGCTCCAACCTTGACAGTGCTTTTTTAAGTCTGTCTCAGCTGAGACTGTATTCGATCAAGTCGGCCCTGGGCAGCGGTCTTTCCGCGCGCTTTAGTTTACTCTATCGAGCTGTTTCCACAACAAAGGAGGACCATTATTCTGCGAAAGCACACTGGAGCAGCAGACATTGTCATTATGATGCCTTCGACAACGAGAACTGACTTAAGCGATGTGAGGCGTCCGGCCGAAAATTCGGAAGATCCAACATTAATGAAAACGCACTCGTGGCGTATCAATCAACTTACCTTGCGGAGGCGGCTTCATTTTGTCACCACGAGTAAAGCCAAGTTCCATTTGTCTCGAAGTGCTTTAATTCACGTGTTTTATTTACATGACAAACGCTCCGAAAAATAAAACAATATATGCAACACAACAGTGCCTCGACCCATCGGTTGCGACACACGACGTCTATCGGGAAATGGGAGCATATTCGGAAGCGACATATATCAACTTTGAAGTTTCATCAGCAAAGGGTGTACGCACTCACCGAGGAAACGAAACACCAGTGGGCGAATGTCTGCTCGGACCGATTATTGCAATTTCCTACACTACACACTCCGGTCGTGGTTAGGAAATTCCAGAGACAATGCGTCCACAAAATCAAGCGCGACCGCCGCGATCGCGAACACTCCGCCAGGTTATTCTTCGATAGAGACTAAACCTTTAATGTCGTTCTCCGTCGTCAAAACTGTTGCTCAAGCGGTGTTCTACGTTATCACGCGGATTTCACGCTTTGGTGGTTCGCAGACTCTGCATGTCGACGATCTCGGGCATCGCCGCGCGTCTCCTCCGTCGGTTTCGTCCGTCATGCTTAAAGCATCTTAAAGTTAAACGCCAAAACAACAGGGACATGAGGATAGATGCAAACGGGACGAGGCGCCTCGTCCTGTCTGCATCTATCCTTGTACCCCTGTTGTTTTGGCACGAACAACCAACTAGCCTAACTCGCCGTCTAAATTCCGCCAATCAGTTCGTAAATTCTACCGAACGAGGTATAATTTTATAGTATACCGCCAACCGCGCCACTTCCGGGCCGACTTTTTTTTGACTAGGCTTCAAAAAAATCACGTGGTGCCATCCCCCTGCGAATATCGGTACGCCCGACGAAGGAATACCAAGTGTGGTACGAGGCGTTTTGACGCGAACTATTCGCGTAGTGCATGCGAGCACAAATCGTTGTTAACTCCGGAGGTTGTTTCGTTCCACTGATCGGTTTTTACTCATAAATAGCGCTTCCTTGCCTAGCCCAACGAGGTGAGGGGCTTAAAGTGCTTAACCGGAAGTCCAAAAATGACCCCCCCGTAGGCGCTACCATCTTGACCATGTCCGCCGCCAGTCACGTGACTTTTTAGCAAAAGTGACGATACAGAAAGAATATCTGCTGTCCGAGTTACCCAAAGCGTCGGTTTTAGGCAAAGAAAGGTTTACTAGGGGGCTACTGAGGAACAGACGCCTAAATCACTTAATGAAAAGTGACTATAGCACCCTCTACTTTGAAGGCAGTACATCGTTATTTAACTTTCGGCGAATCGACTTGGGCACTTTCGCCTCAATCTCTTTCAGCTGAAGTTCTCCTAGCTAAAAAAGACGCTTTGAATAGTTCAAAGCGCAGCAGTCTCGTGCGTCTTCGTCTTTTTAGCAGAAAAAGTCACTTGACTGACGATGGAAATGGCCAAGATGGCAGCGCCCGAGGGGGGGTCATTTCTGGGTGCGCAATGCAATGCCTGTTGAGCTCTCTAAGCCCCTTTACCTCGTTGGCCTAGCCCTTAATTGAAAGACTACAGCCGATTGCAAGCTTCCATTTACAAATTTGGTACTGGAAGTGCTTATATACGTCCGGCGCGATGGCCGTGCCGTCTTCCGCATAGTTTCGAATTTGAATCAGCAGTGTTCGCCACGGCGTCTGGCGAGGCTTTCGGAACTGAACCGCCGTGGGATTGCAATATTCGGCGTCCATAGTTGCCCGCCGACCGTCAACACTGCAACTGCTTACAGCACGGTTATACGCTCACAACTTGCCTACGGTAAACAAAAGCGGTGGCTCGGACAAGTAGGTAATCGCGCTGAACCCCGAATACCGCGGTAGTGTGATGGGCATACAGTGGTCGCCCTCTCGCTATCGCAGGTCGAGCTTGGGGCCCCGATGCCAGCATAGGCTGAACTAACTGCAGCAGCATTCAGTCTGCTGCGCGTATACCCACCTCACCGAGGCCCCCCCCCCCCCCCCCCCCCCCCCCCCGTCTCAGTAGGGAAAACTCACTATCGCACTAGTCTTGCACTAGTCGCTAGTGCAGTCGTTCCAACTTCCATCTCCTGCCACTCCGAGAGAGTTAAGATATGATAGAAAGGTTCCATAGATTTCACGGAAAGTGCTGCATCAGCTAAAACAATTGCTCACACAGCCTAGAAAGAAAAGGATAGCTAGTTGTGTTCTTATTCTTCGATCCACAGTTTGCGTGGAAGAAAACATTGAGACACGTTCTGTAATTTGGAAACTTCCATGAAGATTTTGGACACTGAGAGTGCTTCTGTTGGTAATTATATGGGTCACCAATATTTTTTCCCATTTTCTGTGATACTAATGGTTAGAGCTTGAACAAAATGACGATTTTGTTGTCCCTGCAGAATGGCAAAGCAGTATGCGGTGGTGAATTTCACCGAGGAGGACCATGTGTCCGCTGTGCCAATTTCTTGGTTGGTGGTTGACAAGTGGAGTTGCCTGTGGCCAAAAGATTTCGCCGGATCCCGCCTCTTGGATGCAATTAGGGACAAGATTGATCCTCGCGCAAACTGGGATCGGTACCCGGTTAGGGTACTGACACAATGCAGTAAGCTTGCGCTCTCCTTCTCTGTATGCACTTCTGACTGAAACACTGAGAAAACAGAAAACACTTGGAAAAAAATATTGTGGAAGAGACCATAAGAATGGAAAGCATGACCTCTTTAGTGAGAGATTTATGCGAGTTCAATTTCTGTTGTCCGGTTGTAAAGCTGGTTGGCACCTTTGCCTGACAATTTCGATATTTGCATATATGAAACCTTTCTTCTACTTTCTTCTGTTTGTAATGAAGCCCATAGTAGTTCTTTCTGTTTTTTAATTGGAATAAAGTATTCCTAATAGCTTGACACGTTCCATAAATGTTCATTGTTACGTAGGTCTACTAATCAGATTACAGTTCAAAATGATTAATATTAGAAGTTTTTGCTCCACATAACAGTGCAGCATATTGTGTCAGTCTGTTTGGCTTAGCACGCTAGCCTAATATTCAGTCTGAGAAAGAAGAAACATGAGGCATACCTTACTTAGCACCGTCTGTTTCATGTAAAAAAGCTAATGTCATTCTCATGTAGCTTTAGTTCCTTTTGCAATTAGCACCTGTTTACAAGAGGTTACAAATTTATATTAACATGAACTAGCTGAAACTTAAGGATCATGCGAAATGTTGGAGACATAGTTGTACAACTAATTTATGTTTTAGGTGTATGGTCTAATTCATGACTAAAGGGAACAGCACGTCTGTGGCTCGTGGTATGCGCAGCGCTGCCTGCGGGAGGCAGGGAAGTTTTGGCACAGGCACAGACAATGCGCAGAGGTGCTGGTGCCTCTGTATCATTTCCCACTGCACTGCGCACTGCTGCGACGGTTATGACTGATGTTGCTGCCAAAGGGGAGAGAGGGATACCGTAAAACAGTGTATAAGGCCTTCTTCCTTCTCTCTTTTTTCGGAAAAGGACACTTGAAAAATTTTGAACCTTCAGGAACCCGCAGGGCAAGCAGCACTCTGTGTCATGGCAGGCATTGCGATGCCAGAAGTGCTCCCCCGCATTGCCTGTGCCTGTGCTGAAGGTTGGCTGGCTCCCATTGGTGGCGCTCTGCAAAGAGCGCGCCACTGGCACATTGTTCCCTTTAAGCCTGAAGCAGACTGTACTATCTTGATTCGAGTCAGCGGGAACACGGGAGTGCGTGGCATGATACTACCAGATCAGCCTAGCGGCGCGGAGCGGAAGTTTCAGTGCACGCGCATCGCGCCCGCTGAGGCAATATGGTCTCATCGTGCGCATCGCATCATCGGAGCGCTCGTGCGTCGTCTGCTACGCACATTGCGTGCTACGCGCGTTGTCTGCTGTGGGTAGCGTGTCGTGTGAAGGCATGGGAGATAACTGCGTGTAGTTGAAATTGTCAGCCCATAACCATGCGATAAGCTTGCAAATATTTTGATGCGTAATACAGTGTCACACCCTTTTTAGTTTTCTCAACATTATTGAGAACATGTGGGCCGAATGAGGGCGGCCTAGGCCACGGGTTTCTATTTATTCGGCCACGGAAGACTAGCTATGGAACACATTCCTAGCAGAATGGGAACGCTTGAGAGTAGGCGCGTTTTTGGGTCTAGTCTCTAAGACTGCCTGCCATCAAAGATGGCAGCTGTTGTAGACCAAATGGAAATAGAAGCAGTTCATTGATGTGAGCTTTTTCAACGGCAGGTAGCAGCTTATAAATGTTAAGATTAAGTTTTGATTGAGCAATAAAGCTTGCCGCTGCTGACCTCTGACAGGCACACTCCTGACGGAACCTCGTCATTACTGCAACCGGCTGCAGCAAGCACTTCTGTCGTCTTATGGGCAAATAACTAAGGCGTCTGAACTCAACAGTCAGCGGCGCAGATCGAACTATAATGGACCAAAAAGGCAATAACGGTAAGGAAAACAACAACGCGGAGCTATGAGCGTTGTTACCAAAGTCAGGGTTACATTAATAGGCAGACACACTAGCCGACAATTAGACTACGATCCCGGCCCTCGTCACAGAGATTTCACAGGAAGCGGGTTCAGCAAATCTGGCGTGATTGATATAAGAAAAACCCACAATTTTTATTTGTTTTAACAAATATTTAGGAACAGATGAGCACATTGGCGGAGCTTGTAATGTAGGGTTCGCCACCTGTTGGATAGACTGAATTTCTTGCTATCACCAGTAGCGTGCGTAGCGGGCGACACGTGTGTGAGACGACACACATAGCAGACTACGCGCGTAGCAGACGACAGACGAGCGCCGCGATGACATGATGCGCGCGATGAGGAGGTAATCTCACCGCCCGCGTAACACGCATGCCCAGCAGTTGCGCGCTTGACCGGTAGAGCGCTCTGATAGGGTACGATGCCATGCGCTCCCGTGTTCCCGCTAACTCGGATCAAGATAGTACATAGTTTTTTCTTCCCCTCCAAAAATGTAATTCTTTGCCTTAAATTTTTGTGGAATAACTATAACAAGAAAGCTAGATATAAATTTACAAAATGAGTGCATGAGCTTCCATTGCATTGTTGTGAATAAGCTGAAAATTTGTAAAAGCTTGATTTTAGTTCTGCGGAACAAGAGTTCTCACAATCAAATATTTCTATGAATGAGCTTGGGGAAAACATGTGCTAATTTGCTTAATCGCTAACAATACAGGCCTTTTCTCTAGGGCATGCCTTTATTGTGTTCTAAAAGTATTTCTGGTGAGGTTCTTTGAATTCATATACTAGAAACCTACAAGAAGGCCCTCAAGAAATCTCGGCTAGCCGAAGAAACATCAACACTTGAAACGTCGGAGTTTTCAGGTGTGTATTAATTTGCAAATGTCTTGGAAAATTGTTTTGAAGCAGAGAAACATATATTTAATGCAAGGGCATCTTTGCTTGTTGAAATTCCAGCCCCGGAGGCCGAAACTCCTGAGGATGTCTTCACAACCTATGACGATGCGCCATCGCACCGTCTGGCCTTGCCCTCTCCACGTAAGTTGAATAAATATTGGTAATGTAGGCATGCACTAACTTCGGTCTCCTTTAAGGTATCTAAACTTATCTAAACATCATTGCATTTCTGAGCTAGCCGTGTAGACAGCCAGCCATATGGCTAGGAATTGCTGGAATAAAGCAAGCCAGCCAGTGAGGGTCTTAACGCATTGACTTCAGATGCAGTTAAACACTTGAGCTGTGGTTGACGTGGGTGACTTGTTGCAAACTGCAAGCCAATGTTAAAGTGCAGCAAATTTCATGGCTCACCAACATCTAAGGCTCTTATGTGCAAGACATAATTCTTATATGTGCCATGCAGGTGCTGAGGAATTACTCATTAAACGCTATGATATAACTGAAAGCAATTTGCAGTTGAAAACTTGCTTAGGGTGAATTTCTGCATATGTATATATGCTTCAGGAAATAGTAAAATTTAAAACCATTTGAAATGTGGGCATATGCACAGGTGTGTGATATATTTGGTAGATTACATGTCACCATAGAAATATTAGTTTCATTTCATGTGCATATGTTTTTATCTATTGCTTCACATTCTCATGCTTCTCCGTGGATTTCGTCTTTCGGTTACAAATGAGGCAGTCACCGGGTTTAGTTGCAACGGTTTGGTGACTTTGCCTCCAGGCCTCACCCCGAGCCACTTGTTTCAGCCAAGTCTGAAACAAAGACTAACGAGACCTGCTGTTGGACTAGCTGGTTAGAGTCACCTGAACAGATCACAGCACTAGAAAGGACAGATACAGAGACACACCACAACAGGATGAGTGCTACACAGTCATCTGGTTTATTTGCCATGAGAATTCGGCAAACAGTGTAAGCAGTGTAAGTGCAACATGCAACAAGAGAAATACAGAATCATACGTCAGAGTGCCAACAACATAGACAAAAGAATAGAAGGAGCCCATCCCAATTTGACATGAGTCAATGAAAAAGGCTCCACCATGTGGCATACATTTACTTTTTATATAATCTGCTTCCAAAAGTTTGTGTCGTGGTACCTTTGCTTTTTCCAAGGATCCTAACCTTCTGTTGGAGTGGCTCATGTGTGCAAGTGAGACAGTAAAAAGGCAGGTGCATGCTTTTATTTGTAATAGATGGCTTAGGTCTCCACACTCATTGACATGATGGCCTGTATGACCCTTACAGGCCTCCCCCCAAAGAGGGCCTGGCATATTTTTTCTGGCAGCCAGAGCTCCTGTCAGAGGCACGATGTGTAGAGGAACAGATGCCCGCAAGTTTTCGTAGCACAGAAAGCTCCTTGAGCGCCCTATACCCTCTTAACGTTGTGCACACCCTCGTGAAAGCACGGCACAGCTTCGGGAATCTGTCTCTTATGTTCAGTGTTAATTCAACCTCTTGAAGTGCCCTTAGATTTTTTTAATTTTTAGAGATGCCATTGTGTCAATGTGCGAGGAAACCTAAGCTGTCTATTACAAATAAAGGAAGCACGCACATATCTTTTTACTTTCTCACTTGTGCATGTGAGCCGCTCCTACACAAGCTCAGAATCTTTGGCACAAGCAAAGGTACCATGACACAAACTTTTGGAAGCACATTATATAAAAAGTAAAGATACTGCATGTGCTAGTGGCTATTCCATTGTCTCGTATCAAAATGAGGTAGCCTTCTTTGATTCTTTTGTTTACAGTGTTGGCACTCAAACATACAGGTATGTATTTTTCTTGTTGCATATTTGCTGTGCTTATGCCGGTCCTCATTATTTGTTTAAGATCGAAAACTGCGCAAAAAAGACGGGACACAAGAAAGGAACGAGCAACACAACACAGGTGCAGACTTACAACTGAATTTTTAATCTTTCACTTCGTTTAACGAAGGAATGCAATGTGCACGTGGGCCGCTGAGATGCGCTATCACTGGCTCGAATGGGCACGCTGAGGGCAGAAAACCTAAAGACGGTGGCAAGCGGAAGCGGGATAGGGATAGCGAGGAAAC